GAAATAATGATTTTATCCAAAATTCGCCACCGGCACCTTGTTTCGTTGATTGGATATTGTGAAGAAAGGGCTGAAATGATACTTGTTTACGAGTTTATGGAGAAAGGTACTTTAAGAGATCATCTGTACATTTTGAGGGGCGACTCGGGGAAATCCACTTCTCTTTCTCAATTATCTTGGAGTCAAAGGCTTGAAATTTGCATTGGTGCAGCAAAAGGTATACACTACCTTCACACTGGTTCTAATGGGGCAATCATCCATAGGGATATCAAATCGACAAACATCTTGCTCGATGAACACTATGTGGCTAAAGTTGCTGATTTTGGCCTTTCACGATCAGGTCCTCTTGATCAAACTCATGTAATTACTGATGTCAAAGGCAGCTTTGGATATCTTGATCCCGAGTACTGCAGATGCTTGGAACTTACACAAAAATCCGACGTTTACTCTTTTGGGGTGGTACTTCTTGAAGTACTTTGTGCAAGACCTGTCATCAACAACTTGCTTCCTCAGGAGCAAATCAGCTTAGCTGAATGGGGGATTTCCAGGCAAAAGCAGGGACAGTTAGAGACAATAGTGGATCCTTTGCTTGTGGGGAAAATTAATCCTAACTCGCTAAGGAAATTTGGGGATACAGTTGAGAGGTGTTTGCAAGAATGTGGGGTCGATAGGCCTAATATGGTCGACGTGTTATGGGACTTAGAATATGCTTTACAGCTTCAACACACTGCAATGCCTCGAGAACCATATGAAGACAGCACCACAGATGTTACTTGGGAGTTGCCTATGCCTGTTGTTCAACGACTACCTTCTCAAAGCATCCGGTTTAGCGACGATGAACAATCTTTGCTTCTTTAGGTTAGTAGGGTAAGTGCTTATTTCTTATTTTCTGGTACTGTCATCTCTTTTTGCATCTTCAACTATAAAATAAAATGATGTTAATTTGAGTCCATTTAAAACTTCAAATTGATTTTATCAAACACTTGTTACAAAATTGAAATGTTTTGACTACACTGTTACTATCTTACGTTGCGAAAAAACAATTAACTGTCATTATAGTTTTTATTAAAAAAGAAAAATAAATAAAAATTGGTGGCCAAGGAACGGTTCTTGAGTTGGTTCAACTTAATCCTACCAACCAGCAAGTAGGTGGATGAATTTGAAGTCAATAATCAAATTGAAGCAAAAATTATAAAAAATAATAATAATCAACTCGAAACTATACAAAAATGTTCACGGCGAGTAGTATTTCTAAATTTATTATATTTAAGATAAAATAGAGTAGACCGTGGCATAAACATTTGTAAATAGTTCACCCTAGTTGTAGTAACACTGCGACAATTGCTATTGGGTATGACTTCTAGAGGGGTCTGGTCTACGATAATATACAAATCGATTTTCAAGTAAATTGGCCATAATAAATTATTAAGCAAAGAGAAGTTTTCTTCTTTGCATTACAAATTATTCTTGACCGTAAGTTTCCTCTTGTATTTTTTGATGAATTTAGACTGCTTTACAACAACTCATAGCATCATCCTTGGGGACTTGGACCTTTTGGCAGTCAACTAGAAAATGGAGCAAACTAATTTAAATGACGGACAATACTAGTAGACTAGATTACATGGGAGAAATTTTTAACTTGCTTTGAAGGCACTCAAATTTTTTATACCTAACAGTTGAAATTACATATAATAGTAATCTTAAGATATATATACTTGACTTCTACCACGCACCGTGGTAAATGGGTACTTCTACACATTCTACTAATCCATAAGTTGACTACTAAACTCAATTACTTTAGTAAAAAAATTTAATTTTCTTTAAAGTCAATCAAAATTTTCATATGTGAAGTCGAAATTACATATATTAGTAATCTTGAGAGATACTTGACTGATATGTTATATGTAATGATCCAATCATCTTTGCTCATATCGTTATATCATACTAACTACGATAATTGCTGTTGGGTATGATTTCTAGAGAAGTCATGTCCATTGACTTCTATTGCATAGTGTATACCGTGATAAATGGGTACTTCCCACAGATTTTACTAATCTACAAGTTGCCTATTAGACTCAATTACTTTAGTAGAAATTTTTAATTTGCTTAAAAGTCGGTCAAAATTTTCATACGTGACAATCGAAATTACATGTGTCATGTTTGAGCCCTATTTTTTTTTTTTTTGTGTAAAATGTATTTTGGAATAATAGATTGATAGAGAATTTGTGATTAAAAAATAAGGAAATTTTTTGAATTTTCGTGTAATATTATTTTATTGAACAATGTGTGGTTGAAAAGAAGAGGGAGAAAAATATATTTTGAAAAAAATGGGAATCAAATATGATGTTTTTCAACCAGATAAAAAATAATTATGCACTCTTCTTGACATCTCATCTATCTGTAAAATTTTCTATAACTCTTTATATACAAATAGCATTATTCATATAATAATGCCTATAATTATGTCTTTGAAAATAAAGTAGTCTTTGACACTAAATAAATTATTATAACATTATAATCTGTTGGAATATATTAAGCCATTATTTGTTTATCACTAAAGTAGGAGAACGAGTTTTAAAATAGTGAATTTTGTAAAAATATGTGGATGAAAATGAATTTGAAAAAAAATTGAAATAATAATAGAAAAACCAAGGCAAAATGTGTGAGGCATTGTTGATCATAAAAAACAAAACATGCAAGGACAAATATAGGAAAGTGGTCACTTTTCATACGTTGTAGATGGATGTGGATGTGGATGTGGATGTGGATGGACGTAGATAATAAATTTGAATTATTATTAATGCAAGAAACAAATTTTCCAATTTATTGATATATTACATAAATATTTTACATTAGTTAAACATCTTCTCATTCTAAAATTACAGCCATAATAGTACGATTTAAAACATTAAATATCTTAAATAAGTTTTGAATAATTTTATTTATAATATTAGATTTAAGATTTGAATTGTAATATTACAAATGAGTAAGAGTATGAGTTATTTTATTGGTCATACTCCAAAATAAGAAAATAATTTTTTTTATAAGAATATTTTTCTTAACGTAAAAAAAAAAAAAAAAAAAAACATAAAGTTAGATTAATGTACTTTATGATTAAAAAAAAAAAATAGACCGTCAAATTCTTGTAAAGCTGAAAAAAAATAAAAAATAAAAAAATCACCAGCACCCACAAACCCCCTCCCTTAGATACTTTGGTCACTGCAGTCCCCTCGGGGCATAACTCAGTGGTGCAAAGGACAGAAGTAAGGTAGTCTCAGCTGAGCTGACAGCCGCAGTGTGAGGGTTCGATTCCTGCCTCTTACAAGGTATGAAATTGGACTCTTTGTGGGTATCAGTATGACAGTTCTTATATCTTAACCTGGTGAGACACATCCCGCGATTTACCTCCTCCATAATGCTCTAGGGGCAGGGCGGGAGGGAGCCCTCAAGGTTGAGGTTCAACCTTTTTTTTTTTTTGTCACTGCATGCGTCATCATAAAGATAAGTCCATGGTAAACATATTGAAGATATTTATACACATTTCTTTAAAGAAATTGTAAAATGTCAGATTAATTTATCGGATAATTGCAATCACGATATCAAAACTTTCACTTTATTTCAAACTTGATCCAAACCTTTCATTTATAACATTCACCATACCAAATTTTTCAAAAATCCACACTTGAAGTTCAAGTAGATGGAAATCATCCATTTGACCGTTAGTTGACTAGATTAATTAATTTCGACCAAATATAAGATGGTCAAAATGATAACTTTACAATTTTAACTTAAATAATTTTAAAAACTCAATTATCATTTTGCTCATTTTATAGTTGGTCAAAATTAATTACTCAGGTCAACTAACGGTTTATCCACTTGGACTTCAAGTGCAAATTTTTGAAAAGTTTGATAGGGTGATTGGTATTTTAACAAAAAATTGGAGACAACCAAGCAACTTTCATTTTATTCAAATTAACATATGATTAATATACGAATTTGATCCGTACACGAAACTAAAGCCAATGCGAGGAAAAGACTGCATTAACATGCTGGGAAGGGTCAAATATTATCCTTAGCCAAA